AAAGATAGGTGGTCTAGTCTGAAATGCAGCGGATGAGATAATATGGAGAGGGGAAGAAAGCTTTTAGGAAAAGTAGAAAAAGTTGAGCCTTAACCCCTTAAGGACCAAACTTCTGGAATAAAAGGGAATCATGACATGTCACACATGTCATGTGTCCATAAGGGGTTAAAGGGGCCTGACGTGGTGAAGAGTTCGCACCAATTGGGAGACAAACTTAAACTGAGAGAATGTTAACAAATAACAAAACGTTAAAACAGGGATGAGATAAGTAATGGCTGAATGAACGTAGGGTCCGGACACTCTCAGAGCTGTTTTCTGAACAAGATAAATTTCTGAAGAAGATTGGGCACAGGGCCTTAAAATGTTTACCCTCACTGGCTCAGACCATCAAACAAGAGCAGAAAATAGTTTTCTAAATACTATAGATAACCTGAGCCTTAGATTTTAAAAGCATGGCAGTAGAATGTGATCAGTAAATATAAAAATGCTATATTTTAAAATTATACATTTTATTTAAACTCTTTTAGCAAATCACTAGCCCTGTGTCTGCTCTATTGGCAGATAATTGTCATTGCTGGTTATCTTTGCATTTTTACAATAATTCTGCATTTTCTATTGTAACTCCTCACAAATGCGTTGTCATAAAACCGACATGTTAAAAAAATATAAACAAATGTTTACACTTTATTGAGCCACTGTGTCTTAATAATTCTTGAATCACATGTTAATGTTTCTTTAAACAGTCTGATATTTCTTGAACACATGTTGCACGCTGTATATTTTTACTGCACAGACAGAAAACTAATGTGAGATAGTACCCATGTCGTGAATTAATAATGAATTGTTCAGTTCTACTGTTATATCAGATAAGGATACTGGTTTTAATGTATTATGCATTAGGGACACCGATCACAGTTTAATGCATTATGCATATGCGTTTATTTGTATTGGGTATGGGACATGCTCTGTACAACACCACTGATCCATGCTTGCAATCTATATTCTTGACTTCTACAATTAATGAACGCACCCAGAGTATTGATGATTGAAAACAACATGATGTGTTTGGTTGAATCAGGTCGTGCGTAGTTTGTAAATTCAGGAAGTTGCCTAAGCCACGCACAAATGTTGTTCAGCTATATATATTTTTTAAGTTACAATTTCTTTTTCCTAAAAGATCTAGTAATTGGATGCGAGGGATGACTTGCTGTGCCTTATTTTACAAACACACAATTACAGAGAAGTGTGATCCCTAAATCTATATGTCAATACAATGTAGCACAGGCTGTAACTGCTGTATATCAGGGTCAGTGTTAATCAGTTATCCAGTGATGGTCTATGACATCATAACAACTGATAATTAATGGTTCTTTCTAAGAATGGAAAGTATTATTCATCGAATCACCTAAGAGCTGTATACTAGAAGCTAGAGCTGAAGTTTTGAGAAAAGCTGAAAATCACTAAAGTAGAGGACTCACAAAAGAGGAGCTCAGGGATATCTCTTGGTCCCAATCTCCTCAATGGTATAGGTAAAATTAAAAGAGAAAGAAAATCAATATAGTGCTCACTGAAATAAAACAATGGACATAGGATATGTAGAGGTAAAGTAATAAAATATGATGATATATGATATATATATTTTTTTTTATTATATATCATATTATTATTTTCCCTCTATAATCTATATATTAAGTCTCTCATGTGGTTTATTTTGTATTGTCTAGTTCTTTTTCACTATCACCATTTTTATATTGTTTTTAATCTTTTTTTCCCTTAGAGAGCCCTCAACAAAAGTGGCCCACATGAGTCGACTTGTGGCCTACGATCCAATAACGGCCCTTCTAATAAGTCAGACTTTTATTATGTTGTTTTGTACATTATTTTTTGTATTACTAAACTTGAGCCATTGTAGGCTCTTCTTTTTATATGGTTTTACTATACCTTGTGCTTGTATCCTCTTTTTCCCATTGCCTGCCTTTACTTAAAATGGGCGATATTGGTCGACCTACTAATTCAGTGCTGACTATTGATATCTAAAGGGGCTCTAATATTGCATTTTATCTTTAGAACTTCTGCCTTGGTAGCCTGAGTCTTTACAGACTCTTAACAATAATACTACACCTCTCACAATACTGAGATCTTATGTAAGACCTAGTCACGTGATGCACGGACTCGATCTGAGTCACGTGACCATCCAATCTAGTTATATTGCTGCTAGAACTTCTGTCATTTAGTTTACATATATTTATGCCTTCAATGTCCTCATGTAACAATGGATCTTCTTCTCAATATTGTATGTACATATAGTTTTTATTCACATGGTCATGTGATGGCAATTTTGACATCATTTTGACAGATATTTCCAATTTGTCTTCCCCTATAAATGACTGTTTTCCAGGATACTTTTATTGTCATTATTATATTTTTGCAATCTGAACATCTGTTGTTATGGATTACCACCTATGCTAGAAGTACTGAGCAATCTAACTGCTCAAAGAAGACTATACCCTATGTCCATTGTTTATTTCCTTGAAGCACTATATTGTTTTTTTTTCTCTTTTAATTTCACCGTTACCTTTGAGGATATTGGGACCAAGAGATATCCTTGAGCTTATGGTGATAGGTTCTTTCTTGTGAGTGCTTTCATTTTTATTTATTACCACTCATTTCATATTGGCAATATTACACTATTGGATTTCTCTTTTCTGTTATTGCATATCCATTGCAGAAAATGTCATACAACACCTGTATTTATTGTTGGGGAATATACTACTACATGCTTTAGTGACTGGAGATTGTTTGAAACTCCGTATTATCTAAGTGGGTATCTTTCATCTAAGTGTCGTGTGTCTTCCCCTACACAGAAATACTATATCATATGCATTTTGTTTTGTTTACATGTACCCATTGATAAAGAATTAAAAGCCAAAGGAAGCAAGGTCATTTGTTGATTACCTTTAATCTTGGTCCCTTGGACTCTTTTATACTTAGTATAATATAATATATATGTATATATATTTCTAGCATTAGGTGCAGCCTATTTTTTGTTGTATTTTGGTTTCTACTCTTCAAGGGATTGAGGTAATACCTTGTGTTCGGTGTTTGATACCTTAAGTAATCTGGTGGTTGATTTATTAGAGCTTGTCCATCTTTGAGTATATCATGGTTAAGAGCTGCTAGCCATACATGTGTGCATCGTTAGCACAGCTTCTCTTTGTACGCACAAATTGGACGGAATTGGGTGGCCAAGAAGGAAGTAAAAACCTCTTCCTATGACATCATTGACTAAAGTACCATTCTTGTAGTTTTTGTGTTTTTTGTAAGTTGCTGCAGTTCTAAGTCACTGTGTGGCAGGTGACCTCCTTGGACCATAACCTATGTAAAGAGCATTGGTTATTATGGTGCTTAGAGCCCATTTAAAGGGGAATTGTGTAATCGGATGACCATAGTCTCTCAACCCACTTTACCAATGAGCAATTGTCCTATCGCAATACCTCTAATGTTCATCTGGTGTATCAGGTCGATTAACTAGAAGACTTCTTAGATGGACAAGTCAGACTTTTGATTTAAATATCTTAGCCAAAAAAAAAACATCTTGAGTTTAACAACAGGCAACTGGTTTGCTGCCTCAAGACCTGAGTGGTTTGTCATCATCGATACGAAGTATTCTGCAGTGTATAAGAAGATTCTAGAGCAGTGATGGCGAACCTATGGTCGCCGGGAGGGGGAGACGGCTGGCGCGGGTCGGCATCAACTAACTGCAGCAACCCCCCCACAGCATTCCTCCCCCTCACATAGCACCCCCCACAGCATTCCTCACACTCACCCCCCACCCACAGCACCCTCCATTTACACACAGCCCCACCCACTCACACACAGCACTCCCAACCCACTCACACACACAGCACTCCCCACCCACTCACACAGCACCCCCACACACAGCACCCCACACACACACACAGCACCCCCACACACACACACAGCACCCCCCACACACACAGCACCCCCCACACTCACACACAACACCCCTCACTCACACACAGCACCCCCACTCACACACCACCCCTCCCACTCACACACAGCACCCCCCACTCACACAGCATCCCACACACAGCACCCCCACTCACACACATCACCCCCCACTCACACACAGCACCCCCTACACACAGCACCCCCCCACTCACACACAGCACCCCCCAACTCACACACAGCACCCCCCAGACACACACAGCACCCCTCACACACAGCAATCCCCACCGTTACACACAAACACATACACTGCACCCCTCAATGCAGTATCTGTGTGTGTATTCATCAGTCTGTATGTATTCAGCGGACTGTGTGTGTGTATTCAGTGGACTGTGTATGTGTACTCAGCGGTCTGTCTGTGTGTGTGCTCAGCGGTCTGTGTGTGTGTGCTCAGCGGTCTGTCTGTGTGTGTGTGTGCTCAGCAGTCTGTCTGTGTGTGTGTGTTTGCTCAGCAGTCTGTCTGTGTGTGTGCTCAGCGGTCTGCCTGTGTGTGTGCTCAGCAGTCTGTCTGTGTGTGCGCTCAGGAGTCTGTCTGTGTGTGTACTCAGCAGTCTGTCTGTGTGTGTATCCAGCAGTGTGTGTATTCAGCAGACAGTGTGTACTCAGCATTCTGTGTGTGTGTATTCAGCAGTGTGTGTATTTAGCAGTGTGTGTACTCAGCAGACTGTGTGTGTGTACTCAGCATTCTGTCTGTGTGTACTCAGCATTCTGCATGTGTGTACTCATCAGACTGCATGTGGGTATTCAGCAGACTGCATGTGTGTACACGGCATTCTGTGTGTGTATTCAGCTGTCTGCTGAATATACAGATTGCTGAATACATTCAGACTGCTGAATACATGCAGTCTGTATGCATTCAGCAAACTGTGTGTGTACTCAGCAGTCTGTGTGTATGTACTCAGCAGTTTGTCTGTATGTACTCAGCAGTCTGTATGTATGTGTACCCAGCAGTGTGTGTATTCAGCTGTTTGTGTGTATTCAGCAGACTGTGTGTGTATTCAGCAGACTGCTGAATACACACAGTCTGCTGAATACACACACACAGTCTGCTGAATACACACACGCAGTCTGCTGGATACACACACAGACAGACTGCTGAATACATACACACAGTCTGCTGAATACACACACGCAGTCTGCTGGATACACACACAGACAGACTGCTGAATACATACACACAGTCTGCTGAGTACACACACAGTATGCTGAATACACACACACAGACTGCTGAATAAATACAGACTGCTGAATACACACACAGTCCGTGTTGGCACTTTGAGGAAAAAAAGTTGGCATGTATTGCGGTTTGGGCACTAGGGCTCAAAAAGGTTCGCCATCATTTTACTAGAGGATAACATAAAGATAACAGAAAGTCACTTGTGATCTTAATTTGAATTGAAAAACAAGACAGTGATCTTAACCATACAGACAGATCTATGGCAGACTGACTACTAAAGAAGATACAGTTTTGCGTTTGAAATGTTCTAATCGGTGTCTAGACTAAAATTCCATCAAAATGCTTTAGCAGGACCTGAAGGTATCTGTCCATAAAGGGAAGCAATCCAATGACTCCCAGAGATCGTCACACATATTTTAACAGCAAGAAAAATAACACATGTTTATCTCCCCCTAAGTTCATAAGTTGCCATCCTATCCCATGCTAATCAGTCCTCAGCGTGTCTCTATAGGTCTTAGTTACTAATGTGAGAATTGTCAGGAATTCACAATGAGTTTAAAGTGAATTTTACATTTAAGGCCAATATAGCTGAACTGTTATTTTGGTCTAAAATGTAAAATTCACTTTGAACTCACATTGAATTCCCGACAAATGTCACCTTAATAAATAACTGTCTCAGGTAAATGCATGACAAACCTATAGAATGATTGGTCCAGTCATAGGGGGCAGTGGCACCTATACAATTATGACCATTTAGACATCTCCAAAGAGATGCCCAAATTATTATGCATTTTAATTACCTATACATACACAGAGCTCAGTCATTTTTATTAACATATATAGTATTTACACAAAATAGATGTTCAAATAGAACTAGTCCCACAACTGGTATCCAAACTGCCATACGAAAATATCATGATTCATTGCTGTCCAAGATTAGATTGATTCTACATTATGTGAATGTTGCAGCAGGCAAGAGGCCAGGCTATGGGTATGGGGGAGCTGGCAAGGTGGGCAGGAGGGCAATGGCTACTCAGGCCACGAGCATAGTAGGGCAGTCCAGATGTTTTGGGCTGTTCATAAATAATAAGATAACTCTAGCAGTCTCTCCATCTGTCAAATGTATTCATACCGCACACTCCACATTACAAGTTTTGACCATCCACCAGAGTTCTGTGAGCTTCACTCACCAAAAAGTTCATACATTCACACTTGTCCCCCAGGACAAAGGCAGCCAGCCTTCCCCAGGCTATGGGTAACTGAGAGAATCCTGATTGTTGGCTAATTGCTTACACACAGTTTGCAGTTTCTGCAAAGAACACCAAAGGATACACGTCTTCTTGTATGGTGGTGGCCGGGGGGCAGTAGGTAGGGGAGACATACTTACCTAAAGTTCTCCCTTCTTAGCCAGTCTTTTTAGCTTTTGGTGGTTTTTACATGAAAGGAGACTCATCAATGGCCTACTCTTGTGTTTTCCACTGATATACTAGTGCTTGTGGCATTGACGTTTATTCAAATTTCACAAGATGATGCCTATTTTCACAGCAATTGTGACTGACAGAAGGAAATGGCAGGATATTGTAGAGATAGCTCAAAGCACTGCCACATTTGGCCAACTATTGAGTCTTACTGGAGACATCATCCCTACTTTGCATCATGGCAAGGGTTTAGAATGTTCAATAAATTTCATTACACAGTTAAAAAGAGCTTTGGATAAAGAATCTATCTTTATAAAAACAAATTCACAATTGACATGCTGCTTTAAGTATCATAATTACCTGATCAGACCATATCATGAGTATGAGAATATTACATTTAACAAAAAAAATAATACAAAGAACGACATGCTTTAACCAGATGTTAGTCACACAATACAGATGGGGTTATATCTCTTCCGTTGATCTAAATAAAACCCATCAATGTGCCACAATGGGCAACGACTGACAATGCTGTGTAATCATGTTAATTATCATAAAGAAAGTAAGGACTAAATACATAAAGACAGGAAGAAAATGCATGATGATGAAAATTATTATATTATACATAAAAATGCAATACAGTCAAAAATATACAATAAAAGTGTGGATCAGTCCAAAGAAGTCTAAATGAACTAAGTAATGAGTTTCTGTGACTGTAAAGTGATCCTAGCCTCCAAACACAGTCATGTAAGTCCTAAAGTACAGTAGATACAGTTACTTAAAAAAAAATAAAAATAAAAAATCTGCATATTTTCATTGTAGTCGCAGTAGTAAAATTGTGAAACACTGGATTCAGAAAGGGGTCCCAAAAGAGTCAGAGAAAATACTACCCCAATATACATCATATACTGTGCCATTGATATAAAGAGATATCTATGGATTACGGGAGGTTTTCTTACAATACTAGATGACTGCACTTAGTTTAGTTTAGTCTCTTAATTGGTACTGGAATTTCAATGACTCCAAAGAAGATTCTTAAGATTTTAAACATGATAGGATAATTGTAATCATCCGCTAGTATTAGATTTCTACTAGTCTCTGTAAGGCGTTTTCAGCCCCTTTATTTGTAAAAGTCTATCTTGACATGGCTATACATAACCTTGAGATGACATTTCTCCCCCCCCCCCTCCCCGTATTACAGACTTCACCATTATGTAACTTTTTTATTGCATGATATATTTTGATCATTGTTCCCCTTTAAAACCTTTTAAACAGGTTACCATATCCACCACGTTTCGAGGGACACATATCACATTTACTTATTTAGGCAGCACATGAAAAGGGTGTAAGATGTAGAATTCAGGTGTATAAGATTAAGTAACCAGACAATTAAGAATTATACATAATGCAGGGCAACCCTTTTCATGCATTTTCATAAATATGACATTATATGTGTCCCTGAAAACATTGTGGATCTGGAAACCTTACTCTTAATATTAAGTAAAACAACACAGTACTAAAGTACTAAAGTGAGTACTCCTCACTGAGATACATGCTCTTTGCCACACACAGATATGTATACACATAAACTGTCATACAAACACTCTTTCAGAATAAATACATACACATTGTCAGACACAAATACACAATGTCATGCACACACACGGTCACATACACAGGTAAAAATGTTTAGAAACACAACACAGATTCCCGCTGTCAGGCACACGCCACACACACACACACACACAGTGTCAAACAGACATACAGTCGGACATCTACACACAGTTAAACACACTTACACACACAGCCAGAGACTCATGAACACCATATCATACAGACACACAGCCGGATATACACATTCACACACAATAGATACACAGACACTGTCAAACTGACATACAGCCAGACACTTACAAACAAGGATCCCGAACCTCTTCCTTCCACAGTAACCAACATTAAGTGCTCCCTGCCTCTACCCTTAACTCCCGCGAGGCAGTCCTACCAGGCCGTGTGTTACAACTTCCAATCCTGTTTAGCAGTGTAGTGTGAGAGACGGATGGCGGTGATAGAACATGCCAGCCCCCCACACCCTCTCTACACAATGCCCTGTGTCTGAACCTCTGTTAGAGCAGCTCTATGGTAAAGCTGGGAGGAAGTGATGTCTATGATATAACTTAATTCAGTGCTGCCACTGTAAGGGAGCTTTGTAGGTTTCTATTTAACAAAAGGCCCAGCGCAGTCTGGTTCAGTGAGATATAGTTTCTCAACCAGACCAATGAGTGCTACAGGGTCCCGTGCGGACCCCTGATCTGGACCAGGTCCCTTACATGGGTACCGCCTGTACGCCCCTAATGGTGGCCCAGATTGTGCTTTATACTTAGCTGTGCAGTACGCTTTCCACTTGCATTTACTTGTGTGGGTGAACAAGGAGCTGTAACTTCCAAAAAGTAGCAGCACAGCTTTAAGCAAATCATCTATTTTGGGCACAGATACGTGGTCAATAGTTCATTCATAACTGTCAGGACTGTTAGTGTTCTGCTTTTCGTAACAAGGCTTTTTTTTTAGAAACACCACCTACGTAGAATTGTCTTGTATGAGTCATTCCCAAAACTGAATCTTTAAAACAATTCAGTGTAAGGCTGATTCATCCACAACAAAACTGACTCGACACTTCCTAATTAGCATGATTGTTTTTTATTGTATGTAATTGATGCATAATAACGCATAATATTAATTTATTTTGTTGTAAACTGCTAGGACTTGTTAATGATGGTTTTTCAAAATGGAGCTAATAATACACCCCCTTAAATAAAACACATAATATATATTTGTTCCTTCAAAAAGGAAAAAAAAAAGTTTTGCTACAAGAACTGTCCAGGAGGCCTTTTTTTAGATTGTTTGAAAGACACCATGTGTTTGAAAAGACACCTTTCTTCCCACTGCCTTTACTCAATGAGAAATATCAAATGAGAATTAGATTTGTGCATTTCGTTTTAAATGAATCGCGATCCATCCAAAGTTTGTGTATTTTGCGATACATCTGAATCCCGCAATTCCAAATCGTCATATTGCGTAATTACAAAACAAATTAAATAAATTAAATGGACAATGGATAAGCCGTTTAGATTGTTTTGTAAATCAGAGTTCCGTTTGTGGTGCCAGAGAAAAGGAAGAGGGAATGTAGAAGAATCAGATTTTTTTAAATTGCAGTACAAGCCATTTTGGTTTGTCCAGATTGTTTTCTTGAAACAATTTATGTGTAAAATTCATCCGATTTGAAACGCCATATGGTCAAAATTCAGTCCAAGTAAACCAAATTTTTTTTTTAGACGAATTGATGTGGATGAACCAGTTTATTCTTCCATGCACAAATACCATAGGATCAGGGCCGTTTGAAGGAATTTGGGGGCCCCAAGCAAAATGGACATGTGGCCCCCATCCCCCCACCCCCCCTCCACCCACACGCAC